TGCTGTGTGGAACTGGATGGAATGGACTGATAAGCCGCCGAGGGTGGCTGTGAGCCCCAGAGGACACTGGCCAAGTAGGTGACCAACTGTCCCTGTTTGCCCAGGACTGAGGGGTTTCTCCAGACTCTGGACTTTCAGGGCTAAAACCAGGAATGTCCCGGGCAAACTGGGACAATTGGTCATCCTAAACCAAGAGCTAAGGGGGCTTCTAAGAATCTGGGCGGACACTGCAGGCATGCCTACCTCCGGCACTCACTTTCTCAGTCTCAGCTCCCAGGCTCCCGGTAAATAAACCTTGAACAAGTACATCATTTGATGCTACTTCGAATCCACGATCTTCATTAGCCGCCCAGAGCACCTCCGTGTCTTGGTCTGGCCTTGATGTTCAGGCTTTATGAAGACCCTGTCCGAGGATACACACTGCATACTTCCACTGCTATGCACGTCGAGAACAGGGGAGACCTACCTCTAGTGATGGAGGTCAGAACAGCATCCCGTGGGGCCTGCGGGAGCCTCCTGGGTGCTGGAGAGGCCTTGCTCTTGGTCCAGGGGGTGGAGAGACGGGCCTGCCCGTGGACAAAACTTGGCCGAGCTGCCCACTTAGTATTTGTACTCACTGCTTGTGGGCTGCCCTGCGGTAAACAATGAAGCATAGGGTTGGAACCTGGAAATTTTACTTTTTTTTGATACAGAACCTAATGTGTTTCAGAGAATCCGAGAACTGGAGGATAAGCTGGAGGTCCAGAAGCGACACCTGAAAGAGCTGGAGGAAAAGGTAGGCGGTGTGAGCGCGGAACACAGGGCTTCTTGCCAGGGGCCACCAGCATGGAGTATTTTCTTTCCTCCAGTCAGTTTCATGAAGCCCAAAGAATCGGCTCTGTGTCCAGCCCTCTCTTCTCTGCTCGTTCCTCCCAAAGAGGCCTCCGAGAGATGAGGAGCCCGTCAATACTCTTCTAGGGAGCAAAGGACGGCCCGGGATCAGCTTCAGGCTGGGGAGGAGGAGGGTGTCCTTTATTTTCGTAAAAGACCTTCCACTGAACCCCTCTGACACGACCTCGCCAGGAAGGATGAGGTGACCTCCTTTTGTGAGCGATAAACCGATCATAGACATTGGCTACCTCCCATGGACTTAAATGATGTGTCTGCCAAACCTTAAATGACATACAAGCCGAAAATTCGTGAGTGTTCTTGGAATGGTCTTCCGTCCCAGTAGAAAGTGAGACTGGCCTGTCAGTGTGGACACCCTGCCCCGGTGTCTCCCTAGTTATTACCATCTTACAGGCGAGAACCTGAGCCTGAGAAAGACTCAGACACTTGCCCACGCTCTCACAGCTGGAAAGGGAGAGTTGGGTCACCAGGCTGGTCACAGCCACCTCGCCATTGCCGCCCCCCCAGCGCTCTTGGTCCAGACCAGGCGGTTCATGTGTGTGCATCTTCGTGGCACTTACCACTTTCTGTCCACCCGCACGGTGAGCACGACTTCCTTGAGCTCAGGGACCAGCTTTTACTCTCTCTGTATCCAAGATGGTTCTTGCCACAGAATAGGGCCCCATCAAACGTTTGCAGGACAAGTAATAGATGAGTAGAGAGAAGACCCACAATGGCACAATGGAAAGCTCACACGTGGGAACAGTGAAGGGCTTTGACTCCATCCGGGGGTGTCCATTGGGGATGTGCCCCAGGAAGCTTGAAGGGTGATATGCCGTCACCCTGGAGAAAAAGAGAAAGGGCGTTTCTGAGCTTCAGGTGTCTGGGGCTGGTCTTTGGAGGGAGGACATCGACTCATTCTGTGGACAAAGTGGTTCCAAAGCCACGAAAGGCTCCAGAAGGCAGTCTCGGGGCTATGTACACGTGGGATGACAGCCCGCTCTGTCCTGGGGGGAATCAAACACAAGGGTTCAGAGACGTAGGACAGCTCTTCAGATGCTGCACCAGCTTTAGAAGCTTCCTCCCCTTTCTCTCCTGAGGGTCGGCTTTTATTCAGGTTAAAGCATCTGCCCATCTGCACCTGGAGCCTCGGGCCTCGCAGCCTGCACCACTGGCAGGGTCCTCAGAGGGGCAGCAGAGGGGCAGGGCTGCAGGATCTGCCCTGGGGATTGGGCGGAGCCGCTGCCAGTGCCCTGGCAACCCCGTGGGAATTCCATTTACACGGATTCCTAGAGTCCTCAGCTGGCAGGTGCCCCCCACCAGCTTCCAGGGCTGTTTGAGGGGCCAAGGGTGTCTCAAATATTTTTCGAGGAGTTCCCCTTGGGCACTACTGGCTTGGGCTCGTGGAAAAAGAACTCCAACCACCACAGCCAGGAGTGGTCCACGGGGTGGTCTTGGCAAGGCCTTCCCCCTCCCGGGCCTCAGAGTCCCATGTAGCTAGGTGATTCTTCCAGTGATTCGACAATTTGTTTACAATTTGGTGGCTGTTTGGATTTTCATTTTTTAAATAATAAGTTAGGGGAGCTATTACTTTATTTTGGGCGTGGCACAGGGGGGGCAGGGAGAATTACTTTCAAAAGCCCCAGACACGGTTCAGACAGGTTTCACCTAATCACCAGCAGTTCTTTTTGAACAAAGCCAGTCATCGGTAAGCTAAGGGAAGGCCTTGGCTTTCAGACAGGCCTGTGTCCTTTTTCATTACTTTCAGGCCATTCTTCTGCTACTGTGTTTTTCTTTTTAAAGTAGGCTGATCAAGTGGCACAAAAAGATTGTAACCAGGGGCTCCCCTGGGAGAGTGGGCAGGGTTGGCGTAGGGGGAGGGGTTCTGTTTGTCCGCAGGCTGGACTGGAGGATGTGGGACCTGGCTGGGATCTTCCCTGACCCTGGTGCGCATGTCACGGGAGCCATCAGCCACCACCATCGGAGGGCCCTTCCCTTGGGTGCACCGTCCTGCCCGGGTTCTTCAAGAAAGCCACACCTCAACACCAAAACAGCCCGGTCCGCGGCGTACATGCCCCCGTCTGCGTTAGCTGGCTGTTTGGGCTGTGCGTAGGGGTGACCCGCCCGGGGCGTGGAGCTCCGCGGGGTCGGCTTCTCAGGTGAACCAGCCCGCAAAGCCCGCGCACATCCCACGCTTCTTTCCGAGCCCGACCCCCGCGCCGCGCTCTTGTGCGATGCTGTCACTGAGTTCCATACCTCATATCTCACATCTTCTTTTCTTTTCTTTTTCCCCCCTCCTCATTTTCTTTTGGTCTTATGTTATAGTTTTTGTTCCTTTTTTTGTTTTTCTCACTAGCATTCATTCTGTGGCCTTGATGACTTCCGTGAGCCGAGCACTCGGGTGGGTATCCTTTCATCTTCACTGGTCAAAATGATGATTTTTCTAAAAAATGAGACTTCCTCCCAGCTCTGACTGCAACGTTCCTTGAGAGATGGGGCACCGGGGAAGGTGGCCTTGTGGGAGACTGTTCAGCGTCAGGCTCACTGGGCATCACTGGGGGTCCCCGGCGAGGTCCACCCCGGGAGAAAGATCAGGGAGCTGCCTGTGACTAAGAATGGACAATAGGGACCTTGTGTCCCCTGTTGTGTTTGATCTTGAGAGGGGGGTTATTTTTTTCCCCAAAGGTTCTTTGCATTTTGGCTGTATTGGCTGTGGGCCAGTAAATTCGCCATAGGGGTCCAGACCAGAGTGGGCTTGTGGGGTCAGGGGTCTGCAGGAGCAGGGGGCTGGCGGGCAAGTCCATGAGCTGCATACAAAACACCCCAGAAGCTTGTACAAAGGGCCCAAGCGCCCTGCCTTGCCCCTCCCCCCGCCCTTGGCCCTATGTCTGGCTTTGATGCCGGCTGGTCCTGCTCTGGTCATTGGGCCCTGCATGTCTCATCCTGAGTTCCTGCTCTGGCACCCAGCCCCTCCCCAGTTCTCCCAGTTCTGAGTGCCCATCATGGCCTGAGGTGTTGAGATCAGCCCCTGAATTCAGCCCAAGTGAGGGCCCTGTGTGCTCTGGGGGTGACCGCAGCCCACTGGCCACCCAGTCCCCCAGGCTGAGCTCCCATGCTTGACTGATATCCTTGTGGACGTCCTGAGCCTGACCCCTGCACACAGGGGCTTTTCTTGGATCCTCAGTGCCCCAGTCCTAGGACAGAGCTTGGCACATGGTCGACAGTCATTCGGTGCTAGTGCAGCAAATAAAGGAATGACCACAGGGCTCATCAGACTGGAGGCTGCAGGGTGGGTGCCAGAGGATGGGTGATCTGAACCTGTTTCCTCTTTCCCTGGATTGTCCAGGGAGGTCACTCTGTGGGCTCAGCTGGAGAGGTCAGATCAGTGATGGGGACAGGTGAGGGCAGATAAACCAGGGGCTTCTCCAACCATTTTAACCCTTGGTTCTTGTGTCATTTCCAATTATTTTTTAATTTTCCAGGATAGAAAAAGAGTTTATGGAATAAACTGAGTCCTATGGCAACCCCCACCCCATTCAAACCAAAATTCAGCAGCAAAACAAGCTATTCCAAGCCCAGAGACTAAAACCAGAATTCATGGAGACTTGATGACAGCTCAAAGAGGCACACTTAGGATCTCTGGCTGGGCTGAGCTGTGGGAGCTCTGCAGGGGCAATGGGGAATTTGTCAAGCTCAGGGCCACCTCCAAGTCCCCACTGTGGCGCCTTCAAGAGCCCAAGGGACAGAGACCTGAATACCAGGAAACTAAGTGCAATTACTAGAAACTGAATGAGTGGAAAGCCACTGCACTGTCTGGGGACAGGTCTGCATCCTTGTCCCCTCATGGCATGCCTCCCCTGGCCAGGGTGTGCGTGCCTGGCTAGACACTGACTATGTACATATGTCTCCACGAACTGTGCCCTGTGCATCCTGGGGTCTGTCAGCCAGAGCGACTTGCAAACGTCCTGCGATCTGAACCCAAAGTCAAGCCCGTCATCAAAACCCTCCAGATCCGTATGCAGCTGGATTTGGCAGCTGGCGGCCAGAGAGAGAGGGCTGGAGCCTCGCCCACTGTGGAAGGTGGACCCCAGGACCTCAGATTTACACGGGAGAAGCCCTGGGCTCCCTCACTCTTGTGGGTGTGACACCGTGAATGCCCCAGAGCCTGACTGTGCCTGGGGCCGTGTACAACGAGGACTGAGAAGTGGACACACACCCCCCTTTTAGACCTCGCTGTCTTGCATCTGGGTTGTAATTTGCAAGGGGCCGGCAGGAAGGAATGCTGGGTTGTGGAGTGATCCCTGGAGCACCTGCGGGGAGCGAGGCTCCTTCTGCAGCAGCTGAGACCAGCTCCCCTGTCTCACAGCCACGGAGAAGGAGGCAGTCCTTCCTGCTCTCAGGAGACTGGCCTCCGAACCAAGCCTCCCAGGAGAACAAATGGGGCGCAGCCGCCAAGGAGGGCAGGACACCAGCTGCTGGGAGTCCCGCCTAGGGGGGAGCCCCGGAGAACAGAAGTTACTTTTTACTTATTGTTGCATTTGTTATTCTAGGGTGAGCAGTTGGGTGGGGGAGCATCTTCAGGGGAAGGCTCCTGGGCATACGACTGTCCTCCCCCAACCTTTTGGAAGCAAGACTTTTGGAATCAAAATAGATCAAGTGAAACAGAAGGTAGTGAATGTGAAGGAAAGGATAGCTGTGTCAGTCGGAAGAAGAAGCCAAAGGCAAAGATGGGTTGATCCCAAGGATGGGAAGATTCACTGCTCTGTGTTTGTTGGGCTGCAGAAGCAATTCTAGTGAGAAAAACCCATGGAAAAGATGAAAATGACTGAAATTCAGGCCCGAAGGAATCAAGGGAGAAGGGAATCCAACGGAAGAGCTGACAGTTCTCAGAAGGACAAATCCAAGGATGAAGAAGGACGTGGAGCTCAGTGCAGAAGGGGCACCCAGCCAGACGGAGAGGGATGTCCAAACCAAACCAAAAGGTTATGGGGCTCTATGCAAACATGCACCCGAGACAGATGAGAAGTGACCGTTCTCTTTTAAAATCTAAACCCAAAGCACCGCCACACCAGCCCCCATGACTTTCCCACATTTGGTAACCAAAAGCAAATGAACTGATGTCTTGGCTTCAAAAAAGGGGGCATCTGAGCCTCCAGGTAGCACTGGGGACGTGAACCACGCAGTCAGTGAAAATGAAAAGCACACCTGCTTTCTCTGGGCCCAAGAAGCACAAGGAAGCCTTGCTTTGCTGACTCCACAGGCAGAAGTCTGGGAGGCACTCGAAGGTCTCTGGGAAGCTGTTCCCACAACACAAAGTGTTCATCGTCTCCCCGTGGTAGGAGCGTGGTCCTCACGCGCTCCTGCCCCGACGTCTGTCTACTCTGCCCTCCCACTCAGACAATGGATGCGAATGGTGGGGGCTTAGAAAACAGACCCATCCGGGTCCACTTTCAGACAGCTACTTCCCTGCAGTGGACGCTGGCCAAGTACTTGCCGCTCCAAGTCTTAATATCTCCATCTGTGGAATGGGGTGATAGTCCCCATGCCCACCTCACAAGAGGTCTCGTGGGGCACAGCTGGACAGTTGGGCACTGCTGGACAATTAGACCCACAAGACTCTCAGACACTGGCAGGAGGCGCAGCAGGCAGCATCAGTGCATCGCTGTGGGAGTCGTCCTCAGCGGAGACCATCCAGCCCCCTGGAGATGCTCAGGTGTGAGGGAGTGGGTGCGGGGGCTGCCTCAGCTTAGAAACCCAAAGTCCCCAGTAGGAGCCAGTATTTCTTGTGGCAGTCCCAGGCATGGCTTCCAAGGTTTCGGCAAGGGACAGGCCTGGTCACAGGAGCCACTGTACCCCTGGCGGCCCACCAGACATGAGCTCACGCACTGATGCGTCCCCCACAGCGTGGGGTGCCCAGGCCAGCTCACCGCTCAGGGCGGAGGTTGTGGCTGTTGCCTAGTGACGCAGTCAGCTTCCAGGCAGGTGTGGTTTCCAGGGGAGAAGAGCTGCAGGCCCAACTGAACTGGCTCTTTCTCACGAAAAGTGGGGCTGGGGCCACCCTTTACCCCCACCCTCCTCACAGATCTACCAGAGGGATGAAGGGAACTCAGGCTGACTTCCTAACTGGTGATGCTACTCTCTGGCTCTGAGCTGTTCCTGGCTCCGTGCTTTTCCCAGCTCCTCATCCTCACTTCCTCCCTCCCCCCACCGCCCTCACTCCTCCCCTTCCCCACCCTCCCCCTCCTCCCCCTCCCCTCCTCTCCTCACCTTTCCCCTCCACCTTTCACTCCTCACCCCTCTCCTCCCCTCCCAACTCACCCCTCACCCCTCCCCTCCCTTCCCCCCTCCCCCCCCACCTTCCTCCCCACC